ATTGTCTATCAGAAAGTTGTAGGTGTGTCCCCAGCTTCTACAATGACTGCAGAGTGTTGGGGCCAAGTTCGGTAGAGTTCGGTCTCTCCTATCCACCCAGGCTTGACCGGGTGAGGAGAGGCTCAGGTTGAGGTGGGCCTGGATGGTCAGGTTGTTCATAACTCACAGACAGAAGGGATGTTTATTTCTGTGTTCATGACCCTTACAACTCAGAGCTGGAGGCTATGGTTTTCCATCAGACTGGATTTTCTTCTGGATATCAGGAGTCTTTCTTTTATCAGGTTTCTGGTAACACTGGCTGATAAATTTTTGGCTCCCTCCCCTTTTTGTTGTCTTGGAGAAGCACTTGATTGATTCTAGGATTCTAGGCAGGACAATCCTTGGGAAAGGCCATTTTTCCTGAGTCTAATGTGGAACTCAGAAGGACTTTCTGACAGACATCTTGGGTAGGCATTATATGACACCATCTGACCAGGTTAGGCATACCTGTGAAGCCGAAGGTGGCTGAACTCAGGTGATGGCTGACTGGAACCAGTTTAGTTGGCTGGAAGTAGATGTGTTGGGAGCTGGGGTGGAACGATAGGTGTGGGCAGCAACTTCTGTGGCCAATGAGAGTTCCAAGGGAGAGTTCTCAGAAAGAAAGAACTTTTTTTCCCCCTTTCTTTGAGATACAGGGATTGTTTTGGTTTTATTTTTAACTCTGTGAAAGCCTCTTTTTCTGCAATCAAGGCCTGGAGGTTTGACTCAGTAGTTCCCCTTTCTGACTTCCTGTGTGTGTGTTCTGTACCCTTGAATGGTGGTGCAACAGACCAAGGGTGGGCGCCCCTCAGAGAGAGACCACTCAAATGCCTGCCTGGTCACACCTCTCGTGGGTACATAGGTGTGACTAAGTTCCCTTATGCCACATGTCAATTGCCGCAGAACAGCAGGTGAGGGCTCAACCACTGCAGCCAGGCTTCCTAGTCTTGGTGAAGAGGTGGAGCAGCCTGTTGTTTATGCTGTTCTTTCTACTCACTCCCACATTCACTTAGCAGGCACTCAGAGGTTAAACCTTCTGACCTCCTTCCCTTGAGATTGGTTCTGATGAATGGGAGTTGGTCAAACTCCCCTTTTGCTTGAGCTGAGCAGTACTGACAGACTAGGAGAGGCATTCCCAAGGATCTTACTACAATCAGTCAGGCAGACAGACAGACTTCCTCCTCTGTTTGTAGTCCAGTGTGAGCTGCCCAAGTGGGGAGTTGGGAATCCTCCCTCCGACCTCTGAGAGGACTTGAGAAATCTTTTTTTTTTTTTTTTTTTTAAATGTGTTTAGTGCAGGGTGTGCAGGGTCTCACTACAAAGATCAGACTCATAGTGATCCTCCGGCTTTCAGCCTCCCAAGCTCTGAGATTATAGGCACGTGCCACCACACCCAGTCTCAATGGCAATCTCAGGGAGCTCTGGGGATGGGGCCGCCATGGCACCCTGGAGATTGAACCCTGGTCCCTATATCTGCCTAGGCAGGCATTTTAATCTGCTAAGCTATCTGGCTGGCCCTAGGACTTGAGAAATCTTGAGGGCATACCTTCCCATTGGAACCCCAAGAGGCTCTTGCTCCATCTGTGAGGGTGGTGACCACTGACCAAAGGGGTCAGCATGGTCGGTCGTTCCAGCCCATGCACCAGATGCTACGGAAAGCAGAAACAATGAAACAACACCCAGGATTCGGAGGCAGATTTATTTTATGTTGATGGGCATTGATTGGGATCCCTCCCAAAGTATCAGGCCCTGATCTCTGAGGATCTGGGACTTATATGGCATAATCAATCAGGAAGTACAGAGTACTTGCTGTCTTTTATTGGTTCTTACAACATGCATCATAGTGACAGCTGTGCATCAGAGTGACCAGCATTTCTAGGAGACAGAAGAGACCAGAAGTGGAACAGGAACTATCTCCCGAGCAACTGAAGTGCACTGGCTCGTGGGGTGAGGAAGGCATTTTCTGCTACACCCTAATCCACGGGCAATTGGAGAGTAAGCTTTGTTTTGTTCTGGTAGTAAGGGAATTGAACCCGGGGCTTTGCACTGAGCTACATCCCCTTTCCTTTTCAATTTTCTTTCTTTCTTTCTTTCTTTCTTTCTTTCTTTCTTTCTTTCTTTCTTTCTTTCTTTAAGGCGGGCTTCAGCAAGCCTTCTCTCCTTAACATAGGGCAGGACAAGAATGCCCCACCCCTCCATTAGGTGCCCCTGTGGAAGTTGACCAGAAATGTTCCCCAAAAGCATATCCGAGTCCAGGATGTGTGCAGAGATTTAAGGAAGCACTTTCCTTCCCTATGCTAGGGGCGCAGGAGAAGAACGGGGATGGACAGGAAGGGAAACAATAGTTTCCCAAAGGGTAGCTGATTCCCCAGAGGGGTGGCGCCATGTTAGTTATAGCTCAGAATCTTCCAGCCCAGGCTAAAGAGCTATTGCTCTGGCGTCTGTTGGACCTGGGTTAAGGATGTCACCCCCTTCACCCTTTGAGGGAGGTGGGAACATTCCTCAGCATTTCACACCCCAAAGGGACACAGCAGGCAGGGCTCCAGCTTCCTAGGACAGTTCTCCAAGATGATCCCTTGCTGGTGGTTCAAAGGGAAGGCAAAGTCAAGAAGTGGGCACACAGGAGAAGATAGAATGGGATCCCCAGGAAGACTTGGGCTGAGCAATGATGTGGTGGCTTATGGTGAATGAAGCTGAGACTGGGGAGAGAGGACCCAGGAGCCAGAGAGATACTCAGGAGCCAGGAGCCAGAGAGGTGCCCAGGAGGCAGAGAGATGCCCTGGAGCCAGAGAGATGCC